AATAGTTTGCACAAGCAGCTAGTTAGTGCGATGGGGCGATAGTCTTGAGGGAGGGTACCCGATTTATTGGGTTTCAGGAAGGGAAGGATAAGAGCTTCTCGCCAATTAGAAGGAAAATTTCCTGATGTCCATATGTGGTTGTAAATTTTTAATAGGAAGGATAAGGAGGAAGATGGGAGTTGCCGGAGCATACGGTAGTGAATACCATCAGGGCCTTCATGAGTGTTGCGGCACGATTGTAGGGCAGTAATGAGTTCAGAGGAAGAAAATGGGGCATTATAGGACTCAGCGGAGGATGGGGTGAAGGTAATGGGGGTACGTTCTCTGGTGGTCTTGATAGAAGAGAAGTGTGGAGAAGGTGAGAGCCACTACTGACCTGGCTGAAATAATCACCCAGTTCATTAGCGACTTGGAGAGGATCAGAAATGAGGGTATCTCGAATATGGAGGACGGGGGCAGGATGGGGGGGATGTTTGCCTGATAGTTTATGGATTCGTCGCCATACATTTGAGATAGATGTAGAGGATGTAATTGATGAAACATAATTTCGCCAGCTATTTGTTTTACTATTCCGGATTGTACGACGAAGACAGGCAGATGCTCTTTTAAAGGAGATAAGGGCTGATAGTTGATTTGGAGTACCTCTCTTGTAGCGGTAACTGTTCCAGGCTGCACGTTTTAAGCGAAGTGCTTTAGTGCAATCAGAATTCCACCATGGAACACATTTAGAGGTATATGGTCTTGAGGTTCGAGGGATAGCTGTATGTGCAGCTCTTAAGACTGTAGTTGTGAAACATTGTATCATTTCTGAAATGGAGGTGAGGGAGGATGGAGGGGTATGAATAGCAGAGAGTGAAGTGAAAGTATGCCAGTCGGCTCTATCAAAGCACCAGCGTGGGGAGTTAGGAAGTGGTACGTATGAAGTAGGAGAAAGGAGAACTGGAAAGTGGTCACTATAGGGAAAGTGGTCTAAGACTGACCAGTGGAAATCTATATGAAGAGAAGGGGAGCATAGAGAGAGGTCAATGCATGAAAAAGATTGCGTGCGTGTATCAAAGTGTGTGGGGCGATCTGAATTTAGAATAGTAAGGTCAGCTGTGGAGAGGAAGCGCTCTAGAGATCGGCCTCGGGAGTTGGTAATAGAATCACCCCAAAGAGTGTGGCGGCAGTTAAAGTCGCCTACTATGAGGAAAGGTGGTTGAAGTTGGGAAATTAGATTTTCAAAAGCAACAAAGTCAATGGGGTGGGAAGGGGAGAAGTAGACTGAAATCACTGTGATCCAACGATGAAGGAAGATACGAATAACTGTACAAGGGACATTGGTTTGAAAGGGTAGGTGTGACATAAGGTGTTTTCTGATTGATAAGTATGGACGAGACATAAAGGGAATGTGGGGAAGAGACAAAATGATAATTGGGGATTGGTATTGGAGGATGTGTAAGAAAGGTTTCTTGAAGGCATACAATAGATGGGTTATAAGAGGAAAGGATATGACGAAGGTCAGGTCTGTGGGAGCGGAAACCGCGAATATTCCAATGAAGGATAGTTATACTTTCGTTGATTTAGTGATATAGATTGTAGTACGTGTTGGAGAATTTGAAGGGGAAGTCAGCTAGAGGGTGGGATAAGGACTGAGAGGTTTGAGATGGGAGAGATGTGGGAGTTGGTGTTCTATCAGGATGGGAGGGGTATTAGGAGATGGAGGGTCTGAGGAAGGGGATACTTGTGACATAAGGGATTCACGTGTGTATCCAGGAGGGAGTGGAAGGGATAGAGGGGATGGTGGGAGGGTTAATGTGGGCTGGGTTGGGGTCGGGGTCGGGGGGGATGGGCTGTGTTGGGAGGGGGTAGGAGGATAGGGTGTAGGGGGGATATCGTTAGGAGGGGGATGGATATCAGCAGTTACTTGGAGTGTGGAAGGAGCAGGGGTTGTAGGTTGAGTGTCAGTTTGCATTAAGTAATCTTGAATATTTTCAATAGTTTCTTCTGAGGAGTTGGTTGGGGAGTTGTGGGGATAAAGGATTTCTTGTGAGGGGGGGAAGAGAGGACTGGTGTCTCAAGAGTAGGGGCAAAGGAAGGTGGAGGTGATTGTGTGGTAGGGGAAGAGGGGGTGGAACGTTTGTTCTGTCTGTTACGGGGAGTGCGAGGAGGGAGAGGGGAAGGTGTTAGGGTTGTAGTGGTGATTGGAGTATCTGTAGTAGAGATTGGAGTTTCTGGATTTAGGATGGCAAAAGAGTTTGACTGGGGAAGGTAGGATGTAGAAGTGGGGGGGTTAGATGTAGGAGGGGTGGGTTTAGGAGAAGTGTTAGAATGAGCAGTATTACTGGAGTAAGGAGTAAGAGAGAATCCACGTCGACGTGCTTCCTGTCTGGCTTCACGCAGTGTGAGTCCAAGTTTGAATCTGAGAGTTGCTACCTCAGATTCAAATTTGTAGGTGGGACAGCCCCTATAAAATACATTATGGGGGCCGCCACAGTTGGCACATGTGCGTGATTGTGCAGAGCAGTTAGATCGGGTATGGCCAGGTTGGGCACATAATGGGCATCTGGCTGTGGAACGGCAGTGTTTGGCTGGGTGTCCTAGACGCCAACAATTTTGGCACTGACGTGGAGGAGGTTGGTATGGACGAACAGGGAGGGATTCTCCTCCTATGTAGACGTTAAAGGGAAGGTCATGTCTACGGAAGGTAATTTTGGCGATGTTAGTGGGTTTCTTACGATGACCTCTGGGAGGGATGGAGTAACATTGTACTGATGTCGCATCGTAGTCTGTGAGACAGGCGAGTAAGTCTTCTCCACAATCTGACCAATCTTTGTCATAGATTGGGCAGTTTTCTGGGGAGATAGATACGGTTCCAGTGCAAGTATTGAGAGTTGGATGGGGTTCTGCAAGGATAGGGTTACCATATAAATCAGTTAGTTTTGCTAATGCTATAGCTTGATTTTCTGATGTTACTGTGACAAGACGGGAGCGGTCGGGTCGGCTACGGAAAGAAACTTTACCTACTTGTTTTTGTAGACATTGTTGGAAGAGAAGGGTGTTGTCAGAGTAGGGAGCTGTGGGAGGGATCACGAAAAATCGGTCCCATTTGGCTGCACTAAAGAGAGTGTTCAAGATTGTTGTAGGGGTGGTAGAGGGGCGGGGGCGTGACGAAGATGGAGTAGTGTTGATGGAGGTAGTGTTATGGAGAGGTGGGCTATAAGGCTGTAAGGTATTAATAAGGGAGGATGGGGTGGTTGATGTTGGAGGTTGTGGGGGTAGAGGTGTTGAAGTTGGGCTATGCTGGGAGAGTGGAAATGTTCCTTGAGGGTTGATTGTTGGCTACTGTACTAGTAGGCATTGGTGAAGGGGTAGTTATTGCAGTGTTCGGAGCCGTGGTCAAAGGAGAGCCTGGGGTCGGGGAATCAGGTGGGTTTACTTCGTTGGGGCTATTTGATAAAGGGGCAAGCCTCATTGCCCCTAACAGTGGAGATATATTTTCATTACTGGCCATGGTAAGCCTGGATTATGTTGGGGATAAAAACAGTCCACCCCTCAGGGTCCCCTTGAGGGGTAAGGGCTAGATAACTAAATCAGGGGAATACCGTGCCCATGGCTCCCTCAGGCCGTTCAGGACTGGCACAAAGTCAGCCTTTCATCCTTTCAGCACGGCTCTCACACCTTAGGAGGTGGATAGCAGAAGGGTTTGGTGAAGGGATAGAAACAAAAGTGGGAAGGGAAAAAAAAAAAAAAGGCCATGCATAATTAGTTGAGTCGAGGGCTGAGTCCCAAGGTTGGGGAGTTCCCATCATTGGGTCCCAGTCTCCGCCTCCTAAGCCCCCCCCACGACAACAACGGGCAAGGGATTGGGGGGGGTTGTGGGGGTAGAGGTGTTGAAGTTGGGCATGCTGGGAGAGTGGAAATGTTCCATGAGGGTTGATTATTGGCTACTGTACTAGTAGGCATTGGTGAAGGGGTAGTTATTGCAGTGTTCGGAGCCGTGGTCAAAGGAGAGCCTGGGGTCGGGGAATCAGGTGGGTTTACTTCGTTGGGGCTATTTGATAAAGGGGCAAGCCTCATTGCCCCTAATAGTAGATAGATTTTCATTACTGGCCATGGGAAGCCTGGATTATGTTGGGGATAAAAACAGTCCACCCCTCAGGGTCCCCTTGAGGGGTAAGGGCTAGATAACTAAATCAGGGGAATACCGTGCCCATGGCTCCCTCAGGCCGTTCAGGACTGGCACTAAGTCAGCCTTTCATCCTTTCAGCACGGCTCTCACACCTTAGGAGGTGGATAGCAGAAGTGTTTGGTGAAGGGACAGAAACAAAAGTGGGAAGGGAAAAAAAAAGACCATGCATAATTAGTTGAGTCGAGGGCTGAGTCCCAAGGTTGGGGAGTTCCCCATCATTGGGTCCCAGTCTCCGCCTCCTAAGCCCCCTCACGACAACAACGGGCAAGGGATTGGGGGGTGTTGGGGGATAAAAACAGTACACCCCTCAGGGTCCCCATGAGGAATAAGGGCTAGACACCTAACAGGGGGATAACGGGGCTTCCCCAGGACGTTCGAGATTGGCAGCCAGCCTTTCATCCTTTCAACACGGCTCTTGCACCTTAGGAAGTGCTTAGTAGAAGGGGTTGGAGTTGGGACGGAAACGAAATAACGAGGGCTGAGGCCCAAGGTAGTGGAGATTCCCAGCACTGGGTCTGAGTCTCCGTTTCCTAAACCCCCGTTCCATGAGGGTAAGGGGTAGTTAACTAAATAAGTGAATGACGTGCTCATGGTTCCGAGACCGTTCAGGACTGTACAAAGCCAGCCTTTTACTCTTAAAACACGGCTCTCATATCTTAGGAAGTGGACAGTCTACTTCAAGTATAGGTGATCATTGAAAATATAATTAAAAATCATTTATTATTAAAATAATATTGCATGTCATAGTCTAAAAAAAATCATCAATGTTGTTACATTTATGTTATTACATATAGTATATCTATCACAGCTTTACATTTTGGCACTGGCATCGACAGCATACTTTAGGATGACCACCTGAGAATGTAGCAAGGGAATTTAGAGGCTACTTTTCACTTTTAACACGATATAGTAACTCCAACCGAGTTCTAAAGAAAATGTATATTGCCAATTTAGATCGCTTAGACCGTAAATGATATACATGTTCAAATGCATTTTACGGCGAAAATTCTTGTCCATGTAATACACATCTTACATGCTATTCACTACATTCGAAGTTTCATCCCTTCATCCCTCTTGCATATAATGCAGCAGAGTTATAACTTACAATACAAACTGATCACAAACACTCAGTCTGTGCGATTATTATTCACTGCCTATAATTTAACCAATTAAATTAAATTACACATTTATCTTAAGTTATCAGGATTACAAACTCGATCACGGAGTCATACTGGGGAAGATAGCGGAATAGAAGTCGTCATTCTAAAGCTTGTGTTCAATGGCAAAGCAATTTGCTGGACTGGCAGAGCTAACCTGAGCATCAGGCTCTTCTACGATCTTCAAATATGGTGAGTTTTGCTCGCCTGAAGCTAAGACTTTGCAAAGAGTGGAGGCACTCAACTCTTCCAAACTTTTATTGGCACCGAAATTATCCCTAAAGACACTCAGTGCAGAAGACTGCTGAGGTCCGCCGCTGCGCGTTGTCGCCTCCGATGCATTCAACCCACACCCGTCTTCATTCTCTCTTTCGCAGCAGCTCAAACGATCAGGCTCTTCAGACGTATTGAGAAGAGAGTCCATGGAGCTTGTGCGTTGGCTGTTCTGGGGTCTGGACACGCCCACACTGACGAGGTTGACGGGTGTCACCTGTACAGAATGGCAAAGGCTCGTGACAGACATCTGCCGAGAGTTTCGCCGGGAAGGCTCTACTAAGACCAAGTCCTGATGGGTTATGCGCCAACGTCGCCACTCACGTACATGGTACCTGGAAAGTGGAACAGAAAATCAAATATGTAAAATAACTGATAGAAAAAAAGTTAATCAAAAGCTTGACGAGCTACGGAGCACGATCCAAATAAAAAGGCACGTGAGGACGACAGGGATAGCGAGAGGGAGGGAGGGAGACAACAGGTAGACAACAGGTACAGGTAGAGGGAGGGAGACAACAGGTACAGGTAGAGGGAGGGAGACAACAGGTACAGGTAGAGGGAGGGAGACAACAGGTACAGGTAGAGGGAGGGAGACAACAGGTACAGGTAGAGGGAGGGAGACAACAGGTACAGGTAGAGGGAGGGAGACAACAGGTACAGGTAGAGGGAGGGAGACAACAGGTACAGGTAGAGGGAGGGAGACAACAGGTACAGGTAGAGGGAGGGAGACAACAGGTACAGGTAGAGGGAGGGAGACAACAGGACAGGAAGAGGGAGGGAGACAACAGGTACAGGTAGAGGGAGGGAGACAACAGGTACAGGTAGAGGGAGGGAGACAACAGGTAGCCTGGTATGAGGGAGTTTATACAAACATGTACATGGTTGATATTGATGTGATGCTACAACAGGTACATATTTTATAGTGTATTTGATACAAACATGTACACGTATATTTATGTATAACAACAGTTACATTTATATTTATTTATACAACATTTACATTTAGATTATTTATAACAACAGTTACTTGTGTATATTTATTTATACACATTCTACATTTATATTTATTTAACAAATTACATTTAGAAGTGATGTATACAGACATTACATTTATATGGTTGTACACATTTACATTTAGATTTATTTTGTTTAGACAAACATTTACAATGTATCTCTTCTTTATACCACAGTCCCATTAAATCTTTCTCATCTTCACTTCTCTTACTCCTCCTACTTCCCCTCTCCCTAAATATTACTTCTCTTCTCTACTTCCCCTCCATATTTCCTTCCAAATTAGACAGGACAGAAAAATGAAGATACTGCAGAGAAGAACGAGAGGCACAGGAACATCAGAACCGGAGGAGACCAGAAATCAGGATTGGCCCTGGACTGGAGGGCGAGAGAAACCCACGCTATGACAGCGGTCGCCCAGGCCGAGAAGATGCCCAACAGAAGGACGGCGAGGACGATGAGGCCGAGCGCTTCCCACTCGACCAGCTGCTCCTCGAAGGTCTGCTCGTCGTCCTGCATCTTTGGCACTCGAGCGACCGAGATCCGGCTGTGGTCCTCGTCGTGCTTTCCGCTCTGAAATGAAGCAATCAGGTTGTGTCAGATGGTTTGTAATTTATGATAGTGTTTTTTTTTATACAAATATACGCATACATACATATGCACATACAGCTGTATATGTAAGCATATACATATACAGCATATGTACAGTTGTACATATGCATACGTACGTACATCCATACACGATATATGCATACATGCACCTGAACACATACAGAAGGTTTGTATAAGCAATAGATGCATATATATATATATATATATACATATACATGTATAAATCTATATATACATAATGTGTACACTTGTGTTTGTTTGCATGCATTCATGCAAACATGTACATTCACATATATACATTACAAACCTTCCATACAATATATACGAAGAAAATGCTAATGGCGGTACAATATTTAATATTCTCTTCAAAGGGAAGAAATCATGACTAATTTAAGAAAAATCCTATAATGAAGCTACACTTACTCTCAAACTAGGAACTTTGACAAAGTGGATTTTTGTCATGGTGATCTTAGGTCTCCTCTTCTTCTGGGAAGAATCTAGCCCCGAGGGATTCGTGTATTGAAGGGCGCCGACGACGCAGAGGTAGACGCTGAGGGCGGCGAGGGGCGTGAGGAGGAAGAGGCACAGCACGTCCACCAAAATCGCCCTCCAGACGTCGCGGTTTTCGCACTGTACCACAAACTGAGATGTTATAGACAAAAAGAAGTGGGATTGCATTGTCTGCCTCTTTCACTTTGCATGCAAGAAAAATAAAAGATTCCCATAAGCAAATAAACGAAACATGAAGGGATGGTTATCGCTGATTAACTTCTACGTGGGTATAAATGTTTACTTTAGAAGCATAAATAATATTACTGTATGAATTGAATAAATAATATGGCTTCGTATACCATTGCTCCATCTTAATGACGCGGTTAAGTCACCACAAAATGGGTTGTGTTCAACAGTTTTAGGCTTACTCGTTTCGAAATGAGTTGCTTCCATTTATACTTCAGCATATCGCAATGGTTTATGCAACTACGGTAGTTAAGTTTGCAAATCTGCAACAATGCTTCCTCGTTCACATGAAGGTTAGAAAACTTCTATGGCGATGTTCCTGCTAATATTGCACTCTCTACCTACTATCGAAAAGAAAATATCTTACAATTCCCCCTATTAATATCGAAACAAAATTTCTAAAACAGTACCACACAAACAGACTGCATGAACGCCCCACCTTCCACAAGGGCCTAGGTCTGCGCATGACCGTGAAGGCGTAGTGACACAGCTCGCACTTCTCGCAGTTGGACACCGTAAGCCATCGCTCTAGACAGGCCTTGTGCACCAGACCCATGCTTCCCATACACCAACAAGGTGATATCAGCGCCTCGTTTCTTTCACCTGAAAAAAAAAAAAAAACATTTACTAAACAGATGCAAACACACATTAACTAAATAGTTAAATAAATATAGTGTTCAAAGATCAGAGCTTTCGTGTCCAATGTGTTCCCCACTAAGTATCCTGCTTATTAGAATTAATTCTTAGACCACAGACTACCTTACTTTAAAACCACATAGTTGAAGTGTACAATGAAACCCATGGCGTTATTAAAGAACTGATGAAGGTTCGTGGTGGCCTCTTGACATACCTAATCAGCTTAAGGGCACCCAGGAGTACCTAAATTACACTTTGGAAATTATAGAATTTGGTCAATTTCAATAACTTGACTTACAAACGTACGTACAGGGACCTGAACAGATCAGAGAGTAAAACTCGGATCTTATTCGTCCATTTTTCAAGTTAATATTAAGGGAGGGAGGGAGGGAGGGAGGGAGGGAGGGAGGGAGGGAGGGAGGGAGGGAGGAAGGGAGGGAGGGGAGGAAGGGAGGGAGGAAGGGAGAGAGCCAAGACCCAAGAGAAAAGGAGGGAAGGAGGGAGAGAGGGAGCGATCCAAGACCCAAGAGAAAGGGAGGGAGGGGAGGGAGGGAGGGAGCGAGGGAGCGATCCAAGAACCAAGAGAAAGGGGGGAGGGAGGGAGGGAGAGAGGGAGCGAGCCAAAAACCAAGAGAAAGGGGGGGGGGGAGGAAGGGAGGAAGAGAGGGAGAGAGCCAAGACCCAAGAAAAAGAAAGGGAGGGAGGGAGAAAGCCAAGAACCAAGAGAAAGGGGAGGGGAGGGAGGGAGGGAGAGAGGGAGCGAGCCAAGAACCAAGAGAAAGGGGGAGGGAGGGAGGGAGGGAGGGAGGGAGAGAGAGGGAGCGAGCCAAGAACCAAGAGAAAGGGGGAGGGGAGGGAGGGAGAGAGCCAAGACCCAAGAGAAAGGGGGGGGAGGGAGGGAGAGAGGGAGAGCGCCAAGACCCAAGATAAAGGGGGGGGGGGGGGAGGGAGGGAGGGAGAGAAGGAGAGAGCCAAGACCCAAGAGAAAGAAAGGGAGGGAGAGAGGGAGAGAAGGAGAGCGCCAAGACCCAAGAGAAAGAAAGGGAGGGAGAGAGGGAGAGAAGGAGAGCGCCAAGACCCAAGAGAAAGAAAGGGAGGGAGGGAGGGAGAGAAGGAGAGAGCCAAGACCCAAGAGAAAGAAAGGGAGGGAGGGAGAGAGGGAGAGAGCCAAGACCCAAGAGAAAGAAAGGGAGGGAGGGAGAGAGGGAGAGAGCCAAGACCCAAGAGAAAGAAAGGGAGGGAGGGAGAGAGGGAGAGAGCCAAGACCCAAGAGAAAGAAAGGGAGGGAGGGAGAGAGGGAGCAAACCAAGACCCAAGAAAAAGAAAGGGAGGGAGGGAGAGAGGGAGCAAACCAAGACCCAAGAAAAAGAAAGGGAGGGAGGGAGAGGGGGAGCAAACCAAGACCCAAGAAAAAGAAAGGGAGGGAGGGAGAGAGGGAGCAAACCAAGAACCAAGAGAAAGGGGAGGGGGAGGGAGGGAGGGAGAGAGGGAGCGAGCCAAGAACCAAGAGAAAGGGGGGTGGAGGGTGGGAGGGAGAGAGTAAGAGCGCCAAGAACCAAGAGAAAGGGGGGGAGGGAGGGAGGGAGGGAGAGAGGGAGATCGCCAAGACCCAAGAGAAAGAAAGGGAGGGAGGGAGAGAGAGAGGGAGAGCGCCAAGACCCAAGAGAAAGAAAGGGAGGGAGGGAGGGAGGGAGAGAGGGAGAGCGCCAAGACCCAAGAGAAAGAAAGGGAGGGAGGGAGGGAGGGAGAGAGGGAGAGCGCCAAGACCCAAGAGAAAGAAAGGGAGGGAGGGAGGGAGGGAGAGAGGGAGAGCGCCAAGACCCAAGAGAAAGAAAGGGAGGGAGGGAGGGTGGGAGAGAGGGAGAGAGCCAAGACCCAAGAGAAAGGGTGGGAGAGAGCCAAGACCAGAGAAAAAATTATTCGACCACTTAAGTCGACAAATCAACTCCTGACCTTCGTGGCAGATCCGGCAAAAGCGGCCAAGGCTGTGGCAACTACTTCCGCTCCTGCAGGAGACCGTGGGCGAGATATGGACGGGTCCCGCGTTCGCTTTGGCGCCTGGTTCAGAGGATGGCGGAGGCGGAGGAGACGCACCCGACGAACCTGTACGAGATTGCACGTAGACAGACATACTCGCTGATTCCGCTACTGAAGCGACAGGTGGAGAAGACGGATGGGCTGACTGCGAGGCCAGTCCAATATCAGTTGACCGCTGTTCACCACCTGCATAGAGATGTACTGGAAGTGACACGGGAGATGCATCTAAAGAAGAGGTGGAATGATTCACGATGAAGAAAAGTTTCAAAATCTATGAAATAGTTCGGAGATTTTTGCTTATGTGAATAACTACATCGAATATAAACAAAAACTTGTATGGGATGATTACTGAATAAAGAATAAAGAATAGAGGATAAGACTAAAGCGATATCTACATTGGCTTGGCTAACTAAGTATGAAGTTTCAATTAGGTTTGATTATACATGGGTCCCTATGGCAGCTAGGGAGTCTCGCTCAACCACAAAGGAATGAATATAATCATGAACATCGTCAGATCATACAGTAAAAGTACCATTTCTTGGTCATAATCGGTTAATTATGGTTCGGTCTTGCTAGAATATAATTTGCAGAGTTTGTCATCTCCTCCCAGAGAGCCGATTGCAAGGCCAGCGGCGCACACGCGATTCTTTTCTAAACATTTGCCAAATCGTCTCCCAACACATGACTCATTTTAAAATTTCTTAACCCTTGTTCAAGCTTTCAGTCC